CAGGCTGATGGACGCGGCTGCTAGCAGCCTGACGTATGAATCACAGCCTGATTGATCAGGCATCCTTTGGAGGTGCTTATCGAGGTGTTGAGCACTGCGAAGGGTCGGCCAGTTATGCCCCTTATGTGTAGTGGAAGCGTGTTGAACAGTCTCGGGCCTCTGGTGTTGATAGAGTTCTCTCTCAGAGTACCTGTTGCACCTCTGCTCTTCAACGGGGGTATTCTGCACATCCTGCCATGCCTCCTGGTCTCATGTGGTGTTATTTCTGCGTGCAGGTTTGGGACCAGCCCCTCTACTCCTTTCCTCGTGTAAACTATTATGTATCTCTCCCGCCTGCGCTCAAGAGAATACAGATTTAGACAATTTAGTCGGTCCCAATAGTTTAGATATTTTACTAAGTGATTCTAGCAATAACGGATCTCTGCACGCTCTCCAGGTCAGCAATTTCTCCAGCTTTGAAAGGGGCTGTGATTGTGCAGCAGTACTCCACTAGAGAGCACTAGCGACTTGAAAAGTGATAGCTACTATGGGTCTATAATTTTTTAATGTGCTTTACTACCTCATTTGTTAAGTGACGCGATCTCCGTTGTTTTAAGTTTGTCAGAGATGACACCAGTATCTAGGCTCCGTCTCCAAAAGTTGTTCAGGGCCTGTGATAGCGGTGTTTTGCACTTCTTGATGGATATAGAATTCCAGGAGTGTGGGCCAGGTACAGAGTCCATGAGCATGCTGCCTATGGCTACTTCGAGGTCTAGTGGGGTTAGGGTGACATCTGATATGTGGTTCCATGTTGGCGTCACATTCATGAAGAATGTCTTTGGATCACTGGGCCTCAATGTGGCCAGGGGTTCATTGAAAACATAAATCGTACTGAAGCTTCAGTACTTCACTCATTCCTTTGTTGTCATCTGTGAAAGTTCCATCACTTGAGCAAGGCCAAATGTTGGATGTAGTTTTTGTTCTTGTTTTTGCATAGAAAAATGATTTCGGATTCCTCTCTGTTCCACATAAGGCCTTTTGCTCTCTCTGCCTCCCCTGAAGTTGTTGCACTTCAGCTCGATCATTACTGTGTCTCTGGCCAGCCTTCCTGGTCGTTAGTGGGATAGAATGGAGAGTTGGAGATGTTCCGCTATTGTTTCCTTTGTCTATACAGGCAACGGTGTTCTTGTCCCATTTGTTGTTGTGGTGTATTTCATATATATATATATATATATATATATATATATATATATATATATATATATATATATATATATATATATATATATGTCGTACCTAGTAGCCAGAACTCACTTCTCAGCCTACTATTCATGGCCCGATTTGCCTAATAAGCCAAGTTTTCCTGAATTAATAGATTTACTATAATTTTTTTCTTATGAAATGATAAAGCAACCCTTTTCTCTATGTATGAGGTCAATTTTTTTTATTGGAGTTAAAATTAACGTAGATATATGACCGAACCTAACCAACCCTACCTAACCTTACCTATATTTATAGGTAAGGTTAGGTTAGGTAGCCAAAAAAAGCTAGGTTAGGTTAGGTAGGTTAGGTAGTCGAAAAACATTAATTCATGAAAACTTGGCTTATTAGGCAAATCGGGCCTTGAATAGTAGGCCGAGAAGTGAGTTCTGGCTACTAGGTACGACATATATATATATATATATATATATATATATATATATATATATATATATATATATATATATATATATATATATATATGTCGTACCTAGTAGCCAGAACTCACTTCTCGGCCTACTATGCAAGGCCCGATTTGCCTAATAAGCCAAGTTTTCATGAATTAATTGTTTTTCGACTACCTAACCTACCTAACCTAACCTAACCTAACTTTTTCGGCTACCTAACCTAACCTAACCTATAGAGGTAGGTTAGGTTAGGTTAGGTTGGGTTGGTTAGGTTCGGTCATATATCTACGTTAATTTTAACTCCAATAAAAAAAAATTGACCTCATACATAATGAAATGGGTAGCTTTATTATTTCATAAGAAAAAAATTAGAGAAAATATATTATTTCAGGAAAACTTGGCTTATTAGGCAAATCGGGCCTTGCATAGTAGGCCGAGAAGTGCGTTCTGGCTATTAGGTACGACATATATATATATATATATATATATATATATATATATATATATATATATATATATATATATATATATATATATATATATATATATATGCGAACAAGCCTGAATGGTCCCCAGGACTATATGCGAATGAAAACTCACCCCAGAAGTGACTCGAACCCATACTCCCAGGAGCAACGCAACTGGTAACTACAGGGGGCCTTAATCCACTTGACCATCACGGCCGTCAAAAGGAAGTGGTAGCCTCGGCTATCAGGGGTGTGAGTTTTCATTATATATATATATATATATATATATATATATATATATATATATATATATATATATATATATATATATATATATATATATAATAATATTTCTAGTGCTACAGTGCCTCAAGTTGTGATCTGCGTAACATGCATTTGTAATCATTGTCCGTAATCAGTCCATCGTTGTTTGTAACAATAAGGATTAGTATTCTAGTTACCTTTACTAGTTATCGGTTTAAGGCCAATGTGTCACATATGCAGAAAGTGTGTTTGTGTTGTGGTTGTAGCCTGGTTGACCAGTCCAGCAACGAGGCCTGGTCGACGACCGGGCCGCGGGGTCCCTGAGCCCCGGAATCACCCTCAAGGTAACTTCAAGGTAAGGTAGTGGGGGGGGGGGTCAAATGGTAAAGCGTCCGGCTCTGAGGTAGATGTACCCACTCATGTCCTTTAAGGGGGGTGGGGGGACGGGACGGGACGGTGGGATGACTCTTCAAGCGGCATATGACAGAATTTCCCACTCCCTCTTAGGAGTCCCCGTGGCGAAGTCGTGAGACACTCGTCTGGCGTTTCGCGAGTGCTTTGGCCTGGGTTCGTGTCCTGGCCCGGGGAGGATTTACTGGGCGTCAATCGTTAACTGTTGCCTCTGTTTACCCAACAGTAAAATGGGTGCCTGGTGGTTGTTAAATGATTTAGCGGGTTTTATTCCGGGGGGATATTAGCATTAAGGACTTACCCGAAACGCTATGCGTGCTAGTGGCTCCAAGAGGTGTTGAGAGAGTTCCTATACTTATACTTCCTATTCCTATAATTCCTATACTTAATATACTTTCTTCCGTGGAGCCTGGCCTCAGGCCGGGCTCCGGGGAGTACCAACCCGGATTCATCATTTACGTGTCCACTTACGAAACCTGTACATCCTTCCGTAATCACGGCAGCAACGTTTTCATTTGTTTAACAGTTTATGAGCTTTCAATCCTCACAACCTCGGTTATTTTGTGTAAACAGTTTACGAGTTCTTCGGAGCTCGTAACCTGTTTAATGAATGTAAGGAAAGATGTACATGTTTCGTAAGTAGTTGGATAAGTGCTTGTTGACTCGTGTCCGTGGTTAGGGAGAGTGCACTGGTACCAATACTGAACCTTGGTTACTTAAATATGAGGTAAGAAGGTAAGATGGAGTCACTGCTCTTAACTGTTGCATACAGACATACATACATACATATATATATATATATATGTATATATATATATATATGTCGTACCTAGTAGCCAGAACGCACTTCTCAGCCTATTATGCAAGGCTCAATTTGCCTAATAAGCCAAGTTTTCATGAATTAATTGTTTTTCGACTACCTAACCTACCTAACCTAACCTAACTTTTTCGGCTACCTAACCTAACCTAACCTATAAAGATAGGTTAGGTTAGGTTAGGTAGGGTTGGTTAGGTTCTGTCATATATCTACGTTAATTTTACCACCAATAAAAAAAAATTGACCTCATACGTAATGAAGTGGGTACCTTTATCATTTTATAAGAAAAACAATTGAGAAAATATATTAATTCAGGAAAACTTGGCTTATTAGGCAAATCGGGCCTTGCATAGTAGGCTGAGAATTGCGTTCTGGCTACTAGGTACGACATATATATATATATATATATATATATATATATATATATATATATATATATATATATATATATATATATATATATATATACACATATATATATATACACACACACACACACACACACACACACACACACACACACACACACACACACACAATCCACACACACACACACAATCCACACACACACACACAATCCACACACACACACACACACACACACACACACACACACACACACACACACACACACACACACACACACACACACACACACACACACACACACACACTCACTCGCCAACTAAACCACAAACACAGGATTCCAAATATCTCGGTAAAAGATTGATTGATGAAGATTAAGCCACCCAAAAGGTGGCACGGGCATGAATAGCCCGTAAGTGGTGGCCCTTTTGAGCCATTACCAGTATCAAGAGCTCGGTAAAAGGTGAGAAACACTCAGCTCGAATGATTTTTTAAAATTAGTTATGAGCGGTGTTCTTGAATCTTTTCTATTGACACAAGGGCATCACTGTGACATAGGCCTACCACCCGAGGCCACACTGAGGACTTTACTCTCAACTATATTCCACAGTTCAACAAGGTTTGGAACAGTGAAACCTGTTAATACTTCACAGGAGTGAAGTATTCATAGGACCTTCAAGCAGGTCAAGCAGGCTACCTGTGCACACTGAATTATTCCTTAAGATGCAGTGAGTGCTTCAAGTCACAACTGGGATCATCCCGGACGTAGGTTCGAACCCTCATCACGGCCCCTTGTGGATTTGTTGAGTGCTTCACCCGTGTTGTATGGACCGCGACACCTACCCCAGGCCGGGATTATCCTCAGGTTAGGCACACTGTCAGGGGTGATTACAGCCAAGTATATCAATAACAAGCCAGGTGGAGGAAGCGTAGGTAAGTTGTCAGAGTCTGGAAGACTGTAAGTATGTTTGGTTGTAGCTGTGATTGGTGTTCTACCCCTGTATGTATAGTATACTTCCTCTCCCGTAGAAATGGCGTGGATCAGACAGAGCAGCCCCTCATCTCACTCAGGCGTATCCTCAACTTAAAGTAAGTCGAAATGATGAGCTTCTTCCACACACTGGTAAACCAACCCTCCCCCCCTTACACCTCCACTTGCGTGCGTGTGTGTCGGTGGAGGTGTAGACATGCTTCAGGGCTCGTGCCGCCGCCGCCTCCTCCTCATCCCTACACACGGCTGCTACCGTCCTCCGCCTGTGTCCACCCCTGTGGCTCGCTCTCCTCTTAACGCTATCATCTTGTTTAGCCCGTATTGCACTTACAGTCCTCACGCGCCTCGCATCCTTCTGTGTACCACACACTGTGCACGCCTCTGTGTGCCATGCACCTTTCTCTGCACCACTCTACACTCTCTGCGCCTTTCTCTACAGAGAAAGGCTGCATGGCACAGGTGTCATATAGCCTAACTTAGCTTACCATGTACCTTGCATCTTTATATGTACCATGTCCCTTGCATCTATGTACCATGCCCCTTGCATCTATGTACCATGTCTCTTGTATCTATGTACCATGTCTCTTGTATCTATGTACCATGCCCCTTGCATCTATGTACCATGTCCCTTGCATCTGTGCACCATGTCCCTTGCATCTATGTACCATGCCCCTTGCATCTATGTACCATGTCCCTTGCATCTATGCACCATGTCCCTTGCATCTATGCACCACGCCCCTTGCATCTGTGTACCATGTCCCTTGCATCTATGTACCATGTCCCTTGCATCTATGTACCATGTCCCTTGCATCTATGTACCACGCCCCTTGCATCTGTGTACCACGCCCCTTGCATCTGTGTACCACGTCCCTTGCATCTATGCACCATGTCCCTTGCATCTATGCACCACGCCCCTTGCATCTGTGTACCATGTCCCTTGCATCTATGTACCATGTCCCTTGCATCTATGCACCACGCCCCTTGCATCTGTGTACCATGTCCCTTGCATCTATGTACCATGCCCCTTGCATCTATGCACCATGCCCCTTGCATCTATGCACCATGCCCCTTGCATCTGTGTACCACGCCCCTTGCATCTGTGTACCACGCCCCTTGCATCTGTGTACCACGTCCCTTCTATCTATGTACCATGCCCCTTGCATCTATGCACCATGTCCCTTGCATCTATGCACCACGCCCCTTGCATCTGTGTACCACGTCCCTTATATCTATGTACCATGCCCCTTGCATCTATGCACCATGTCCCTTGCATCTATGCACCACGCCCCTTGCATCTGTGTACCATGTCCCTTGCATCTATGCACCACGCCCCTTGCATCTGTGTACCATGTCCCTTGCATCTATGCACCACGCCCCTTGCATCTATGCACCATGCACATTGCACCTTTCTATGCACCGATGAACTGGGGACAAATAAACCAAGACCTCACAGATATAAGCTTGGAAGAACACCTAGAAAATGCAAAGCTAAACCAGTGCCTGGAGAAAATAAGTTGGGTGGCACTGGCACTGTGCTCAAGCCGCAGACCTAAGGGAGACAAAGAGCGTAAGAGAAGCAGAGTGGAACGAGAACGACAATCCCTCTACAGGCGAAGAAAACCAGCCGCGGAACTTGAAGGCCGCGCCCTGTCTTAAGAACAAGAAAGAACGCTATGTAGAGAATAGTAACGATTGAACTAAAGCTACAATAATAACATTAAATCCAGGAGAAGCAGAGTGAGAGAGCGCAAGAGAGAGAGAGAGAGAGAGAGAGAGTGAGGGAGAGAGAGAGAGAGAGAGAGAGAGAGAGAGAGTGAGGGAGAGAGAGAGACAGAGCGAGCGCGAGAGAGAGAGTGAGCGAGAGAGAGAGCGAGCGAGAGAGAGAGAGAGAGAGAGAGAGAGAGAGAGAGAGAGAGAGAGAGCGAGAGAGAGAGAGAGCGAGAGAGAGAGCGAGAGAGAGAGAGCGAGAGAGAGCGAGAGAGAGAGAGAGCGAGAGAGAGAGCGAGAGAGAGAGGGAGAGAGAGAGAGAGAGAGAGAGAGAGAGAGAGAGAGAGAGAGAGAGAGAGAGAGAGAGAGAGAGAGAGAGAGAGAGAGAGAGAGAGAGAGAGAGAGAGAGAGAGAGAGAGAGAGAGAGAGAGAGAGCAAGAGAGCGAGAGCGCGAGAGAGCGCGCGAGCGCAAAGGGCTATTATCGAAATAGAGAGGAATCCGAAATACTTTGTCTCCTTTTGTAGAATCTAGAACAAAAACTACATTTAACATCGGGCCCCGGCGCGAGGGAGATGGAACTTTCACAGATGACCAGAAAGAAAAGCGCGAAATACTGAGGCAACAGTACGATTCCGTTTTCTGTGAGGCTTAAACACACTGAAGATTGATAACCCGAACGAATTGTTCATGAATGTGAGGAGGAGGCCAGGCCGGGCTCGGGGGAGTAGAACAACTCTCGAAACTCTCTGCAGGTATGCTCCAGGTAAATCATGTATCTGATGTTACCCAAGCCCCTAAACTGTGTGGTATGTTCAGGTCTCACACCCTCACCCATTATATTCTTGATTGCCCGTTGATTGGAGAGCCGGTCGGCCGAGCGGACAGCACGCTGGACTTGTGATCCTGTGGCCCTGGGTTCGATCCTAGGCGCCGGCGAGAAACAATGGGCAGAGTTTCTTTCACCCTATGCCCCTGTTACCTAGCAGTAAAATAGGTACCTGGGTGTTAGTCAGCTGTCACGGGCTGCTTCCTGGGGGTGGAGGCCTGGTCAAGGACCGGGCCGCGGGGATACTAAAAGCCCCGAAATCATCTCAAGATAACCTCAAGATAAGGACTGTTCCTGAACAGATAGCCTGGATGTGTCACAATGGAAAGATTGATGATATTCAGGAGAGAGAAGAATTTTGCACCAGGACTGTAACTTACCTACCTTGTAGCTACCTTGTGCAGCTTCCGGGGATCAACAGCCCCACAGCCCGGTCTCCGACCTCCCGGTTGGTCGTCTGGTCAACCAGGCTGTTGGACGCGGCTATTCGCAGCCTGACGTATGAATCACAGCCTGGTTGATCAGATATTCTTTGGAGGTGTTTGTTGAAGTCTCTGTTGAGCACTGAGAGGAATTTAAGTTATACTCCTTACGTGTAGCGGGAGAGTGTTGAAACGTCTTGGGCCCTTATTCTAATAAGATAATTCTCCCTCAAGAGTACCTGTTGCACCTCTGCTCTTCAACGGGGGTATCCTGCACATCCTGCCATGCCTTCTGGTCTCCTGTGATGTTATTTCTGTCATCAGATTTGTTGGAACCAGTCCCTCTAATATCTTCCTAGCCCAACCACTTGTGCTGGACGGTAGAGCGACTGGTTCGCTTCCTGCAGGTTGGCGTTCACTCCCCGACCGTCCAAGTGGTTGGGCACCATTACTCCCCCCCCCCCCGTCCCATCCCAAATCCTTATCCTGACCTCTTCCAAGCACTATATAGCTTGGCGATTTCCCCTGATAATTCTCACTAATATGTTCCACGTGTAGATTATAATGTATCTCTCTCGCCTGCGCTCAAGAAATACAGATTTAGAACTTTTAATCGGTCCCAATAATTAAGATGACTTAGAGTGGATTCTAGCGGTAAAGCATCATTACACGCTCTCTGGGTCAGCAACCTCTCCGGCTCTGAATGGGGCTGTTAGAGTGCAACAATATTCCACCGTACAGAGCACTAGTGTCATAAAAAGTATCATCATTGGTATGGCATCCCTTGTTTGGAAGGTCCTTATTATCCAACCTGTCATTGTCAATTTTGTTGAATTGTCTGAATGTCTATTGCAAATTGTCTGTGTCTCTAGTCATAAAAGTATTTGTGTGTACGTCTGGTAACGTGCCGCATGTGTAAAGGAAGAAATGTGTATGTTTATCACTGAGAATGTTCAGTAATATGTTGTTTGTGATGTGTGTCTATATATGAACACGTTGTTCTGAAGTGGGTGAGAATAGCTTGAGTTACCTCATCCCTTTGTGTGGATTTATACCTCAATAAACATTTCAATTTCAATTCACACACTTAAATCCACTTGATTTTAAAGTAGCCATTGACTGTATGCCTATGCATTCTGGGGCAGGCCCCCAATTCTTTGGAACTCTATATTCATCAAGAACTGAAAAAAAAACACTGACGCAGGCCCTTCACATTCTTTGGAGACAAAGCCTAGATACTGGCGTTATCCCTGACTTACTAGAAGCAGCAGAGATAGTACCACTCCATAAAGAAATTGAAATTGAAATAAGTTTTTGAGGTAAAATACACACAAAGGGATGAGGTAGCTCAAGCTATTCTCACCCCGTTCAGTACAACGTGTTAATACATACATAGACACACATCATAAATAAACATATTACTCCATAAAGAAGGCAATAAAGCAGAGGCAAACAACTATTGGCTGATAGTCATCACACATCACAAGTCTTGAAAGAGTGACAAGAAGTATGATAACAAAACACATGGATCTACACCGTCTATATATAACCCTGCACACCGTCTATATATAACCCTGCACACCGTCTATATATAACCCTGCACACCGTCTATATATAACCCTTTACACCGTCTATATATAACCCTGCACAGGTTTCAGTACAGGGCACTCTTGCCTGTCACAGTTGCCGGACCACTATGGCATGGAATTAGTGGCCTTGGAAGACAAGCAAAACTCTGGCGTAATTTATGTCAGGCTGCGAGCAGCCGCGTTTAATAGCCTGGTTTACCAATCCAGCAACGAGGAGGCCTAGGCAATGACCGGGCCGCGGGGACGCTAAGCTCTGAAAATCAACACAAGGGAACTAAGGTGCACAGATTTCGCAAAAAGCCTTCGACAAATGTGACCATGGTGTTACTGCGCACAAAATGCGGTCAAACGGAATTACCGAAAAGATGGGAAGATGGATCTACAATTTCCTGACTAACAAAACCCAGTTTGTAATAGTTAAAAAAGTAAAATTTGGACCGTCAACCTTAAAAACCTGAGCAGTCCCCCAGGGTACTGTGCTTGCTCCAGTACTTTATCATCCTCATATCGGACATAGACAAGGACAACACTTACAGTACCGTATCATCCCTTA